AGGGCAGGGCGGGCGAATGCGGCCCCGCCGGTGTCCTGCCCGCCCCTCTCTCCCCCCTAACCACCTCTCTCCGTCTCGCTGCCCTAGGCCTATTCTGCCGTGCCCGTGAGCAACATGAACTCGGGGCTGGGCTCCATGAACACCATGAACACCTACATGACTATGAACACCATGACGACAAGCGGCAACATGACTTCCAGCTCCTTCAACATGTCCTACGCCAACACGGGGCTGGGGGCCGGGCTGAGCCCTGGCACCGTGGCCGGTTTTTTTTTGGCTCGGCGGGGCCAGTGAACGGCATGCCGGCCGGCGTGGCCGCCATGGGCACGGCGCTGAGCCCCGGTGGCATCAATGCCATGTCCGCCCAGCCAGCCCCCATGAATGGGCTGAGCCCCTACGGCAGCATGAACCCCTGCATGAGCCCCATGGCCTACACCCAGTCCAACCTCAGCAGGACGCGGGACGCCAAGACCTTCAAGCGGAGCTACCCCCACGCCAAGCCACCCTACTCCTACATCTCCCTCATCACCATGGCCATCCAGCAGGCACCCAGCAAGATGCTGACGCTGAGCGAGATCTACCAGTGGATCATGGACCTTTTCCCCTACTACCGGCAGAACCAGCAGCGCTGGCAGAACAGTATCCGCCACTCGCTCTCCTTCAACGACTGCTTTGTCAAGGTGGCCCGCTCCCCTGACAAGCCTGGCAAGGGCTCCTACTGGACCCTACACCCCGACTCCGGCAACATGTTTGAAAACGGCTGCTACCTCCGCCGGCAAAAGCGCTTCAAGTGTGAGAAGCCAGCGAACAGCAAAGCCCCTCAGGAGGGCAGGAAAGATCAGGCCGGGGCCTCCAGTTCCAGCTCCAACTCCCCCTTGCACAGAGGCCACAATAAATCCGCGCAGCTGGACACCACCACCTCCCTCTCCAGCTCCAACCCGTCCACCAGCCCTCAGTCTATGGACCACAGTGGATCGAGCACGGAGCTAAAGACCTCGGCCTCGGCCGCCTCCTCCACTATCAGCTCCGTCCCCACCTTGGCGTCCGTCCCGCACCCCCCTCACTCCTTAGCCCATGAACCCCAGCTCCACCTCAAGGGCGATCCCCACTACTCCTTCAACCACCCTTTTTCCATCAACAACCTCATGTCCTCCTCAGAGCAGCAGCACAAGTTGGACTTCAAAGCCTACGAGCAGGCGCTGCAATATTCCTCCTACGGGGCCAGCATCCCCGGTGGGCTGCCCCTGGGCAGCACCTCTATGGCGGGCCGGAGCAGCATCGAGCCCTCGGCTCTGGAGCCTTCCTACTACCAAGGTGTGTATTCCAGACCCGTGCTAAACACCTCCTAGCTCTGCATCCCCCGCCGCCGGGGGCAAGCCCCTCTCCCCGCCTCCCCGCTGCTTTCCTGGCTTCTCTCCCCGCTTTCCCTCTCCCTGCGACACACCGAGGTGTTTCCGCACGCTGTGTGCAAAGGACTGTTACTTTTTAATTGTCTCGCAAAGCGTTGTGCGTTGTTATGATCCACCACGACCTCCTGCAAAGCCGGCCGCATCCCGCCTTGTACATACCCCCTCCCACCCCACCCCCCA